AGGTATGGAACGTAGCCTTAAATCAGGCCTGGGCAAACTTCGGCCCTCTAGGTGTTTTGGATTTCAAGTCCCACAATTCCTAACAGCCTACCAGCTCTTAGGAATTGTGGGAGTTGAAGTCCAAAACACCTGGAGGGCCCAAGTTTGCCAGGACCTGCCTTAAATGATAAACTATCAGTGGAAATGAGGGTGTTCGGGGGGGGGGAGGGGGACACGGACAAAATAGATCAGATTTTGATTCATATTGGTTAGTTTTTATTAAATATGTTTTGGAGAGCGAAAAGGGAAAAACAACACAACCTTGTTGGTCACGAATTTTGGATATGACATTTGTTTACTGGTTGACTCATACCTTTATGGCAAAGGTAGAGGGGTTGTTTGTAAAATGTTCATTGTTCTGTGTTGTTTACACTGTGAGCCGTTAATGTATGCAAATAAACATTACATTGACAAAAAAGATATTATTTTTTGGTGGGGATTGCAACACCCTGAATCTGTCAGCAAGCAGAGCCAGTTATCAGAAAAGTTGAGTTTCCTGGCCATGATCTCAAAATAAAACCTTTATGTGCTAAAGTTGTATGCCTCTTGAGAGCCAGATCATGAAGACAAACCAGTGGGGCATAACATCCATTCATTAATATAAATTCCTTCTATCAAAAACCATCCATGTGAGCCAGCATCATCAGACAAAAGAATCAAGATACCGGCCTAGAATCACTCATCACTGTTGATCTACTGATTTTAAAAAAAAAATCTGGATTATTTGGTTGTCTTTTTCAATGCAGGTCGATCACTGGGAAATGATCTCCCCCCCCCCCCCCCCCCCCCCCCAAAAAAAAATGCTGTGATGTTTCAACAATACTTTAGATAAGAGGCTGCCTCAAATGTACCGGGCCTTAGCACAGCTGGTTAATCTCCAGCAGCAAGAGATCTTACCCGTCAAAAGGTTGGCAGTTTGAAGCCTGGGTAGGGGTGAGCACCCAACTTTCAGTCCAGCTCACTGTCCACCTAAGCAGTTCGAAAACAGTTGTGAGCTGTGAGTAGAGAAATTAAGCACCGCTACGTGGGGAGGTATTTTACAGCACCATAAAGGAAATAACAGAAAATGCCTGCAATCAAAGGAAGGAGGAAGTCTGTGATTAAGGGCTCTTCATCACACAGAATGGAAGGAGAGCACCCCCTGTGGCTGGAATCGAGCACAACCTCCAGAACGCCGAAATTGGGAAAAATGCAGATTTAATACCTCTATCTGTTGTCTGTCCTGTCTGTTTAACGGCATTAAATGTTTGCCGTGTATGTGTTCTGTGATCCGCCCTGAGTCTCCTTTGGGGTGAGAAAGGCAGAATATAAAATGCTGTAAATAAAAAATAATAATACTGGCACAATTTAATAAACAATCAGGATGCGATAGTATGGCAGTGATATTTCAGAGATGATGTGAACAAACAATGCAACCAAAAATATTTGCAATGGGAGTTACCACCAAGATCTTCAAAATGAGAAACGCGCACACACTCCAATTTTTTTTAAAAAATCTACAAACAATAGTAGAAATATTCTAAATACCCCTATTAACCAAGAATTTGCCCTTCTGGAATACAAAAAAATGCCTACCGCAGAAACAAACATGGGTTCGGACAGAATACAGCACATGCGGATGGGCTAGAAACATGGTTTTGTTCTGTTTTCCCCGTTACTGGTAGAATCTCACTCAAGGTGGCACAAAAAAAAGTATTAATTATCGTGTAGAATCAACTGCTACAATAGGTCAAAGGTTAGATTTCCTATCAGACACTCTATTAAAAAGGACAAACATTTCCGTAAAGGATGCCTACAGAAACAATAAAAGCTAACCACAAAAATTACTTAGATATAGCAAACGACTGTCTTCTTCTATGGACAGCTAACCCCAAACGTTCCCCTTCGTGTTACTTTTAACAGTTTTCATTTCAGGCTACCTGTGTTAGATCTAGCTTTAAATTCCCACCCAATTTCAGGTGGTTCAAGACATTGAATTTGCCTTCTTTTTCGGCAAATTAGTTATCACAACTACCCAATTAAGTGGGCCACTAAATATTGTGGGGAAGACGGAGCTGAGTGTGTTTTGCCTTTTCCCTTGCCTTACTTTTTTGAAACAGAGGGACACCAGAGGCACGGAAATAGCGACTCTGTCTGTCGGCTCCACAATTGTCAGGATCAGCTGACAGAATCAGAATTTGTGAGAACACACTTCCCAACACAATCCAGATTTGAGAAATGAGCGTACAGAAACCTATGGGTAACTGGCCGCAACCACTTAGGACCTCTGTCCTTTAGGGTTGCGATACTTAAAATAACAGAAATAGGTATTTGTTTACAAATTTGTCAAGGTGTTTGTTGAACAGGTGTTTGTTTTGTCACTAAAGGGAAGGCATTCTCCATTCTGCTAGATATTTCATTTCAATATCCAGCGGCCCACATAACCGGACACATTGTTTATTATTGTCCTTTCTCAACTTGATTAATTTGGTTTTCAACTCGTACGTGTGCGCACGCATATGTGCCACATATGGACGCACATACAAACCTATATATATGTAATATACATATATATATATACACACATACACCTTCTCAGTCCATCATATGAGTATCTGATGGGAGTCTGCGGCTTAGGAAAGCCAAGGCTACAATAAACCACGCAGTCTCTTAAAGTGCCATAGCACAATTTCTTGTCCTGTTGCCCTCGAAGAGCAGGACTCTTCCACCATTGGGATGTCCATTCCTTAGGAGCCACGTTGCTTTGAGGAAGAAGGAGAAAAAGCACAACAAAGAGCCAGGAGTGATGGGGCAAAGGGAATACAGTTCCAAGGTTTGGGAAACATGCCTTCGACAGAGATCTCAAACAACCTAGCTTTCTAATGAGACATAAAAAGGGACTAACGTCAATGGTAGAAACCTATGAGGCAGGTCAATTCCTACCATTTAGGCTTTCTAATTTAGCAGACAATACAAAGAGTGTGATCCAGTGGCTAGGAACTACCATCCAAAAAAGGAGGGGAGAAATTTAAGCCCTGAAGCAAAAGGCTACTGAGGTTAATTTACTACTAGCACTAACTCCTAAGGGCAGATTCTCTGTTTCTCAGGAGTCTTTGCATAGAGATAGGGAGTCTTCTTCCCTCTCCCCTTCAAAGGGACCTGCAGCCAACTTTGTCTAGGTAGGTAGTCAGGAGAGCCATAAACAATACAGAAGGCTCAGAAACTCCAAGTAAGAACACAACCAGGAGTTTCACGCACCATTCAATACAATTACTGGATATCAATAAATAACGCTATAGTATCTTCAACACAGTATGCCAGATATAATCTGACATGATGCCACAAGAAAGGGAATGTATATTATTGTTGTTTTAACTGCTTATTTTTTGATGTTTTATACTTATTATCGATGTATATGGATTGTTTACATGTTTTTAATATGTTGTACGCTGCTGAGGGAGAAAAACGGGATATAAAAAAATTATTATTATTATTATTATTAGGTGTTTACTAATCTTGTTATGTCTCAATAATAATAATAATAATAATAATAATAATAATAATAATAATAATAGAGACATAACAAGATTAGTACACACTAAATAAGATCACTATGCTGGCTTTTGTATTTAATCACATGTCAGACACTTCCCAAGTGTCTAGGACTGGCCTTTTGCAGATGATAGGTGGTAATTTTGTCAGCGCTGATTGTTTTTAAGTGCAGGCCAAGGTCTTTAGGTAATGCACCCAGTGTGCCAATCACCACTGGGACCACCTTCTCTGCAGTATTATTATGATTATGATTATTATGTCTTTAACACAAAGATATATCCAATTGTCTTGTTATCAAATTTCCCAGTAATCCCTATTATAGGGAAATTTGGTAACAAGAGGATTGGCTAAATCTCAAGAATGCCACAAAACAAAGGCATGAGGCAGAAAAGGATAACGGACAATTGAAATTTTCCGTATATGTGGAGAAAACAGATAGCTGTTTTCAGATATGCACAAAATTTGTCAGAGTCTCTGCAGGATTATTATGATTATGTCTTTAACACAAAGATATATCCAACTGTCTTGTTATCAAATTTCCCAATAATTCCTATTATTGGGAAATTTGGTAACAAGACAATTGGCTAAATCTCAGAAATGCCACAAAACAAAGACATGGGGCAGAAAATGATAACTGACAATCGAGATTTGCCATATATGTGGAGAAAACAGATAGCTGTTTTCAGATATGCACAAAATTTGTCAGGGATTATTAGCATTCGTAAGTGAACATTAACATTCACCAGATTTTTCAGCTTTCATTGTAACATATGGATCTTATTAAAGGGTTGTTGTTACTTTTCTGGGCTGTATGGCAATGTTCCAGAAGCATTCTCTCCTGACGTTTTGCCCACATCTAGAAACCAGCCAGGCTTTGAAGCTGCAAGGCCATTCAATGCTAATCAAGGTCATCAACTGCAATATTCCCCCTTGCCTAAAGCAAACAAGAGTTCTTTTTCCCACTCTGGACTTCCACAGATATATAAACCCCACTTGCCTGGTTTCCAACAGACCTCACAACCTCTGAGGATGCCTGCCATAGATGTGGGCAAAACATCAGGAGAGAATGCTTCTGGAACATGGCCATACAGCCTGGAAAACCCACAACAACCCAATGATTCCAGCCATGAAAGCCTTCGGCAATACGATCTTATTAAAGATACTATAGTTATATATTTCGATATCCATAAGTTGTATTCAGTCAGGAGATGAACCTCTCAGTGGCGCCCAAAATCCTACTGGCAAAATCCTTCAAGATGGTTCCTGGGCTCTTCAGAAAGGAAAAATAAAAACAAGTTCCCCGAGGCACACCGCTTTCCATCCTCCCTCTCCTCCCTTTCTGAGAACCACCTGTTAAAACAATGGAATAGGGTAGGCAAATAAAGGGTTTTCTCTGTTGTGAATCTTCTCGTGTCTTTTGTGGTGCGAACTGTGGCTGAAGCACTTGCCGCAGAACCTGCAGGCGTAAGGCTTCTCACCGGTGTGGATCCGGTGGTGCTGGACCAGGGTCGATTTGTCAGTGAAGCAATTCCCACACTCGGAGCACACGTAGGGCTTCTCGCCCGTGTGGATCCGCTGGTGCCTGAAGAGGTTGGAGCTGACGTTGAAACTCTTTTCGCAGATGTTGCACTTATAGGGCTTCTCCCCTGTGTGGATGCGCATGTGCTTGATCAGGTCAGCGTTGTGGCTGAAGCTCCGCAGGCACTCCGTGCAGGTGTTCAGCACCTCCGCTTTCTGTTTCGATTTGGGCTTCTCGATGAGGCCGCTGACCTCGGCGCCCTCCCCTTCGCCAAACGCCTCCTGCATCTCGTCCGAGTCCTTCAGGTGCTTTTTCTTGTGGGAACTGCGGCTGTAGCTTTTGCCGCAGTCGATGCACTCGTACGGCTTCTCCCCGGTGTGGATGCGCTGGTGCTGCGTGAGGTTGGACTTGTCGTTGAAGCGTTTTCCACAGTCGAGGCAGATGTAAGGCTTCTCCCCAGTGTGGATCCTCTGATGCCGATTCAGGCTGGAACGAACGGTAAAGCTTTTCCCGCACTCTGAACATTTATGTGGCTTATCGTCGGACTGGACAGGCCACGGGCTGATCAGGCTCGAGTTCTGGATGAAGACCTTCCCGCACTCGATACAGATGTCGGGGATTTCTTCCGTCTGGGTCCCCCGATGGACTAGGAAGGCTTTGCGTTTCTTGATGGTGTGTACAGGTTTCACTGGCCATGTCATGGAAGGGATTTTCTTCTCCCTCCCTTCCGTCCCACGCGTTTGGCTGTGCCCAGGACTTAAGCTCAGCATCTTTAGGAGTTTCCTTTTGGTCACGAGTTGGGATCTCGCCTCTTCGCGGCTGAAATTCTCCTCCATGCGGCTCATGTTGACACTTCCTCTCACCTAGAAGGAAAACAAAAGTGTTGTGTTTTTAAAGAGGGTAGACAACTCTCAAAAATATCAAAAGCACCTACACTTAAATACACATATCCCAACCCTTCACAAACTGAACTGACATAGTTCAGACATCTGGAAAATGTGGCATTCACACTACACTTCCTGTCTCCTCTCGTTGCCTTCAGGTTTGCTTTTTCCATCATTTTCCAAGCTAGGCAATGCTGCTGGACAATGATTTTAACAGGACGACACTGGTGATGATTTGTTTTTAATGGTTTTAATAATAATTATAAATACCATATAAACTTAATAATAAGTTTACATGGTATTTATAATATTAGGTTGGATGTTTTTAATTGGACTTTATGAATATATGGCATCAAATTCTGACAATTTCTGTAAGCTGCCTTGAGTCGCCGTAAGGCTGAGAAAGGCGGGCTACAAATGCCATCTATATAAGTAAAAATGTAATGTTTGTTTGTGGGATTAATATAATTCAAAAACCACTGGATGAATTGACACCAAATTTGGACACAAGACACCTCTCAGGCCAACGAGTGACCATCACTCATAAAAACACTGAAAAACACAGCAGAAGACACTTTAAAAAGCCAAAAACAAAAATACATTACAAAACCACATATATACACATATACACAAATATAAACACACAAAACACATATATACAGACTGGGCCACAGCAACGCGTGGCAGGGGATGGCTAGCAAATAATAAATAAATACTTGTGTACAGGGCTGGCCTTAGCACAGCAGATTAAACTGCCAGCTGCAGAAATTCTTGCCGATCAAAAGGTCAGCAGTTCATGCCCGGGTTGGGATGAGCTTTCACCATTAGCCCAGCTTCTGCTTACCTAGCAGTTCAAAAACAGTAATGTTAGTACTGTAGATAAATAGGTGCTGCTTTGGCGGGAAGGTAATAAAAGGCTCCCATGCGAATGAACATGCTGCCAATTCAATCGGGAGGGTGTCTATGGACAGCAAAGCTCCTTGGCATGGAAGATGGGGGCACAACCTCCAGATGCCAGAGGTGGAAAAAGATGGGGAGCCTTTACTTTTGTTTATGTACTGTCTGTCTTTGTTAATTGCATAACAGCACTGAAAGTTTGCCGTATATGTGTTCTGTAATCCGCCCTGAGATAGGGTGGAATATAAATAAAGTTTATTATTATTATTATTATTATTATTATTATTATTATTAAAAATGCTAGGAGGGAGGAGAATAAGCAGGAACTTGTGCTCAACCACAGGAAACAAAAAGCACTTTGTTCCATGCTTCCTGATTTCAACTCAGATGGCTGTTCAGTTATTTCTGAGTGAAGTCAGAACTCTTTACTAAAAGAAAGACAGGTTGAATATCTGTTATCCGAAATCCTTGGGGCCAGAAGTGTTCTGTATTTTGAGTTGGGTTTTTTTTGCCTTTATGTATGTAATGAGATATCATGGAAATGTGGAAATCTAAAAAATTATTTATGTATCATATACACATGATACATATAGCCTGAATGTAATTTCATACAATATTTAAAAATAATTTTGTGCATCACCCTCAACCACCCTTGTGGATGACTTTGGATTTTGAAGAACTGCGTTTGTTTTATTCTAAGATGCCACTGACTGTGAGACACAGTGTGAGACACACGGATTTCAGTACCACCGACAGAACAAAACTACATCAGCTGCAATTTGAAGATGCACTCAATTTTTAGAGATTTTGATATTTGTGAAAATAGTGCATTTTAGAATCAAAGAATGGATTTTGGAATACCAGCGAAGGGATGCTCTACAAAATACAGGCAGAAAAGGTGCATGAAGACATATTATATTGAAGGATAACATTTGGGATTGTGGGTTTGCCAATGTCACAGAAGAACAGAAAAGCGGCAGACACTGATCTCATTCTTCTCTGGCTCTTTTAAAAAAACTCCAAGGAAAGAGCAATATGTCAAATTCTGATCTTCATCAAAAGTCCACTGCAGCTGTTTAAAACTATCCTCATTTTGTTACTGTTTATTATTATTATTATTATTATTATTATTATTATTATTATTATTATTTCACCCCACCAAATGTTTAACATTTACACAAGTAATCAGCCACTGCCAGAAGGGACAGAGAGTTTCATCTATGCTGATGATTGTGCCATCACCACACAATGGTTTGAAATGGTTGAACAGAAGCTCTTCGAAGCTTTAGGTGCTCTTACTGCCTATTACAGGGAAAACCAGCTGATTCCTAATCCATCTAAAATGCAGATGTGTGCTTTTCATCTTGAGAACAGACAAGCATCTCAAGTTCTGAGAATTCCCTGGGAAGGAATCCCACTGGAGCATTGCATCTCACCAAAATACCTGGGAGTTATCCTGGACCATGCTCTGACTTACAAGAAGCACTGCTTGAATATCAAGCAAAAAGTGGGTGCTAGAAATATCGTACAAAAGCTGACTGGCACAACCTGGGGATCACAACCAGATACAGTGAAGGCATCTGCCCTTGCGCTTTGCTACTCTGCTGATGAATACGCACGCCCAGTGTGGAATACATCTCACCATGTTAAAACAGTGGATGTGGCTTTCAATGAGACATGCCACATTATCATAGAATATCTACACTCAACATCGCTGGAGAAATTATACTATTTAGCCAATATTGCACCACCTGACATCCGCCAAGAAGTAGCAGCCAACAATGAAAGGACCAAGGCAGTGACATCTCTGGCCCATCCTCTGTTCAGATATCAGCCAGCATGCCAACACCTTAAATCAAGAAATAGTTTTCTAGCATATACAGAGATACTCGCAGGAACACCTTAGCAAGCGAGAGCCCAAAAGTGGCAGGCTAAAACCTGGAACTTCAGTCAGTGGCTGATACCAGATGAGAAACTCCCCCCTGGACACACAGAAGACTAGGTGACTGGAAGGCGCTGAACAGACCCTGTTCTGGCACCACGAGATGCAGAGCCAGACTTAAGAAATGGGGCCATAAAGTGGAGTCCATGACATGTGAGTGTGGAGAAGAGCAAACTACAGAACACCTACTACAATGCAGTCTGAGCCCTGCCACATGCACAATGGAAGGCCTTCTCACAACAACACCAAAGGACATTTAGCATAATGCCACGTTTTAAACTTTGTTTGTGGTTTTTTAAAAATACATTACAACTGTATTCTTAATTCACTTCTGACATAATAAATAAACAAATAACCCCTCCATTAGAGAAAGTCTGCAAGGCTTAACCTACCTTTACTACAAGGATGGACCTTCCCCTATTATTTGTACTTCAGGTATTTCCTAAGTGGAGAAGAAACACTGGAATTTCAGTCTTGTCTCTGCAAACAACCTAATCCTGGGCCTCTGGGCCTTTCCCATGTGTCTGGTTTGCATTTGGGAAGAGATTCCTGAGCACCAAAGTGTTTCTATTCAGGAACAAAGGTTAGACAGGTTACCACCACGTTGGTTTGAGATATTTTTCTCAATGCTGAAGTTTGGTAAGGTGCCGGCACTATACTGCACTGCAAATTAAATACCTTGCCTAACTCCAGCTGCAATAATTCCATAGCATTGAACCATGGAGTGGTTAAAGCAGTGTCAAGCTGCATTGATTCTACAGTGTTGAAAACTTGGGCTCTCCAGGTGTTTTGGACTGCAACTCCCACCATTCCTAACAGCCTCAGGCCCCTTCAGGAAAGGGCCTGAGGCTCTTAGGAATGGTGGGAGTTGCAGTCCAAAAGGGGGAAAGGAAAGGCCCTGAGACTATTAGGAATTATGGGAGTTACAGTCCAAACGGAGAAAAAAGGAGAGGGTCTGAGGCTGTTGGGAATGGTGGGAACTGCAGTCCAAAAGAGGGAAAAGGAAAGGGTCTGAGGCTGCTAAGAATGGTGGGAGCTGCAGTCCAAAAGAGGGAAAAGGAAAGGGTCTGAGGCTGTTAGGAATGGTGGGAGTTGCAGTCCTAAAGGAGGAAAATGACAGGGGCTGAGGCTGTTAGGAATGGTGGGAGTTGCAGTCCAAAAGAGGGAAAAGGAGAGGGTCTGAGGCTGTTAGGAATGGTGGGAGTTGCAGTCCTAAAGGAGGAAAATGACAGGGGCTGAGGCTGTTAGGAATGGTGGGAATTGCAGTCCAAAAGGGGGAAAAGGAAAGGGTCTGAAGCTGTTAGGAATGGTGGGAGTTACAGTCCTAAAGGAGGAAAATGACAGGGGCTGAGGCTGTTAGGAATGGTGGGAGTTGCAGTCCARAAGAGGGAAAAGGAGAGGGCCTGAGGCTGTTAGGAATGGTGGGAGTTGCAGTCCAAAAGAGGGAGAAGGAGAGGGTCTGATTCTGTTAGGAATGGTGGGAATTGCAGTCCAAAAGGGAGGAAAGGAAAGGGCCTGAGGCTGTTATGAAAAGTGGGAGTTGCAGTCCTAAAGGAGGAAAAGGACAGGGTGTGCGGCTGTTAGGAATGGTGGGAGCTGCAGTGCAAAAGGTGGAAAAGGAAAGGGCCTGGGGATGTTAGGAATTATGGGAGTTGCAGTCCAAAGGGGAAAAAAGGAGAGGGTCTGAGGCTGTTAGGAATGGTGGGAATTGCAGTCCAAAATGGGGAAAAGGAAAAGGTCTGAGGATGTTAGGAATTGTGGGAGTTGCAGTCCAAAAGGGGGGAAAGGAAAAGATCTGAGGATGTTAGGAATGGTGGGAGTTGCAGTCCAAAAAGGGGGAAAGGAAATGGGCTGTGGCTGTTATGAAAAGTGGGAGATGCAGTCCAAAAAGGGGAGGAAAAGGACAGGGTGTGAGGTTGTTAGGAATGGTGGGAGTTGCAGTGCACAATCGGGAGGAAAGGAAAGGGCCCGAGACTGTTAGGAATGGTGGGAGTTGCAGTCTTCTTTGCTAGTGCCAGGCTTCCTTAGCATGGAGTCGTGGGCCATTAAAGCGGAACCAACCCGCATCCATCCCATAGTGTAGCTGCACCCTAGGCCAGGAGCCGTGCAGAACTCATCTCCTGGTGCAAGAAGGATTGAAAACCTTGCATTGGGGGTGGGGGTGGGGGTGAGGGGGGAACCAAACCTAACAAAAAGGAAGCTCCTCCCTACCCCTTGCAAATGGGAGAGTGGGGGGCTTGCCTGTTGCCCTACCTTGCAATGCACAGAAAGGAGAGGGCAAAGCCTCGGAGGGAGGAAGCAGGGGGGTCCTCAATGGGAGGGAGGGAGGACGGGGTCCCTCGCCGCCCTCCGCTTCATGGAGCCACAATGGGAGCGGAGGAGGAGGCCGAGGCAGAGGCAAAGGCTGGCTGGCTGGCCGCCTCCTCCTCTCCTCTCCTCTCCTCCTCCCTCTGACCCAGGAAACTCAATCCTCCGCCGAAAGGCCGGCCCGGCAGACAAAGGACGGGCGGCAGCAGCAGCAGCAGCAAGAGCAGCCACGCCGGGGCCCTCTAGCGGGCCCAAGAGGGGAAGGAACCCAGCCAGACAGACAGCCAGCAAGCTGTGTCATTGGACTTCTCATCAGTGGGTCTCAACCTTCCCAATGCAATCCCTCATGTTGTGCTCACCCCAACCATAACATTAATTCCTTAGCTACTTCAGTAACTGTAACGTTGCTCCCGTTATGAATCATCATGTAAATAGGGTTGTTGTGAGTTTTCCGGGCTGTATGGCCATGTTCCAGTAACATTCTCATTAAGAGCCACATCTACTGTTTTAGTGTGGTGAGATGTGTTCCACACTGGGCATGCATTCTCAGCAGCAGAGTAGCACAGCACAAGGGCAGATGTCTTCACTGTGTCTGGTTGTGATCCCCAAGTTGTGCCACTCAGCTTTCATATGATGTTGTTCCTAGCGCCCTCTTTTTGCTTGATGTTCAGACTGTGCTTCTTATAGGTCAGAGCACGGTCCAAACTGACTCCCAGGTATTTGGGTGCACTGCAATGCTCCAGTGGGATTCCTTCCCAGGTAATCCTCAGAGCTCAGGATGCTTGTCTGTTCTTAAGGTGAAAGGTGCATGTCTGTGTTTTAGATGGATTAGGGATCAGTTGGTTTTCCCTGTAATAGGCAGTAAGAGCACCTAGAGCTTCGGAGAGCTTCTGTTCAACCATCTCAAAGCTCCCTGCTTGAGTGGTAATGGCACGATCATCAGCATAGATGAAACTCTCTGTCCCTTCTGGCAGTGGCTGGTCATTTGTGTAAATGTTGAACATTGATGGAGCAAGCACACTCCCCTAAGACATGCATTATCAAAGGGTGTCTGCGCCCTACACCACTGGAGAAATTACACTGCTTAGCCGGTATTACACCACCCGACATCCACCGGGAAGTAGCAGCAAATAGTGAAAGGACCAAGGCAGTGACATCTCCAGCTCATCCCTTGTTTGGGTATCAGCCAGCACATCAACAACGTAAATCAAGAAATAGTTTTCTTAGATCTACAGAGACACTCGCTGGAACACCTCAGCAAGCGAGAGTCCAAAAGTGGCAGGCTCAAACCCAGTACCTCAATCAATGGCTGATTCTGAATGAGAGACTCCCTCCTGGGCACACAGAGGACTGGGCGACTTGGAAGGCGCTGAACAGACTGCGCTCTGGCACCACGAGATGAAGAGCCAATCTTAAGAAATGGGGCTACAAAGTGGAATCCACGACATGTGAGTGTGGAGAAGAGCAAACCACTGACCACCTGCTGCAATGCAACCTGAGCCCTGCCACATGCACAAGGGAGGACCTTCTTGCGGCAACACCAGAAGCACTCCAAGTGGCCAGATACTGGTCAAAGGACATTTAACAGCTACCAAGTTTGCAAAATCTGTGTGTTTTTTTCTTTTTTCTTTTTCTTTTTAATCTGTGTGTGTGTTTTGTTCTGTTAGAATTGTAACACAATGGTATGGTTGCTGATGACACGATAAATAAATAACCTTCCTAATGCAACCCCTCATGTTGTGGTCACCCCAACCATAACATTAATTCCTTTGCTACTTCAGAAACTGTAATGTTGCTCCCGTTATGAATCGTCATGTAAATAGGGCTGTTGTGAGATTTCTGGCCTGTATGGCCAAGTTCCAGTAGCATTCTCTCTTGATGTTTCACCCACATTTACGGCAGGCATCCCCAAAGGCTGTGAGGTCTGTTACAAACTAGGAAAGTGGGGTTTATCTATCCTAGGTGGGAGAAAGAACTCTTGTCTGTTGGAGGCCAGTATGAATGTTGCAATTGGCTGCCTTGATTATTATTATTATTATTATTATTAACTTTATTTGTACCCCGCTAGCATCTCCCGAAGGACTCGATGCGGCTTACAAAGGCCAAGGCCTCAAAACACAACATAACTATACAAAACCTAAAGCAAATTAAAAACAATTAAAGCAATATTAATAGCATTGAATAGCCTAGCAGTTGCAAAGTCTGGCTGCTTCCTGCCTGGGGGAAATAATAGAATCATAGAGTTGGAAGAGACCTCGTGGGCCATCCAGTCCAACCCCATTCTGCCAAGAAGCAGGAATATTGCATTCAAAGCACCCTGACAGATGGCCATCCAGCCTCTGTTTAAAAGCTTCCAAAGAAGGAGCCTCCACCACACTCCGGGGCAGAGAGTTCCACTGCTGAACGGCTCTCACAGTCAGGAAGTTCTTCCTCATGTTCAGATGGAATCCCCTTTCTTGTAGTTTGAAGCCATTGTTTCGCGTCCTAGTCTCCAGGGAAGCAGAAAACAAGCTTGCTCGCTTCTCCCTGTGGCTTCCTCTCACATATTTATACATGGCTATAAACTCGTGTTATTGTTAATGTTTATTGCTTATTTTTGGTTATGAGTTAATTGTTTTGTATTACTGTTGCTATTGTTTATTGTTGTATTGTGGGCTCGGCCTCATGTAAGCCGCACCAAGTCCCTTGGGGAGATGGTAGCGGGGTACAAATAAATTATTATTATTATTATTATTATTATTATTATTATTATCTCCTCTCAGCCTTCTCTTCTTCAGGCTTTGTTGGAAGGTGTTGTTGGCCCTGCTTGATTCGTGTCTGGAATTCCCCAGTTTTCTGAGTGTTGTTCTTTATTTACTGTCCTGTTTTTATTTATTTGGAGGATGACATGAAATGGTGTATTGTTTTAATGTATTTATGATGTTTTTGATGAAGGCTAAATATATTTTATGTTGTATATTGTTTGGCACCAAATGGTACCTGCTGGGAGCCATCCTGAGTCCCTATTCAGTGAGAAGGACAGGATAGAAATGCTCTTAATAAATAAATAATTATTTATTTTATTTAATTACAGGAGGCGGGCTTTTGGTGGAGGAATTCGCCATCTGTTTACAAAAAGGAAGAGAAGGACAAGCGGAGAGATCTTCAGCCTTCTCTGCCAAAGGGGTTCCTGAGACCAGAAATATATATTTTCTGATGGTCTTTGGTGACCCCTCTGAAATCCTCCTCACAACCCCCCAGGGGTCCCGACCCCCAGGTTAAGAAACACTGCCCTAGCTTATGATCAACATGTAATTCATTATTTGTGAGGCCATAAAGATCCAACCAGTCCATCCTCCAGGAAATAAAGCCCGGCTGCTCACTGGAGGGAAAGATACTAGAGACAAAGTTGAAGTACTTTGGCCACATCATGAGGAGACAAGAAAGCCTAGAGAAGACAATTATGCTGGGGAAAGTGGAAGGCAAAAGGAAGAGGGGCCGACCAAGGGCAAGATGGATGGATGGCATCCTTGAAGTGACTGGACTGACCTTGAGGGAGCTGGGGGTGGTAACGGCCGACAGGGAGCTCTGGCGTGGGTGGTCCATGAGGTCACGAAGAGTCGGAGACGACTGAACGAATGAACAACAACAAACAAAGAAGAGGCACTTCAAATTTCAACCCAAATGGTTCAGCAGATTTCTGTGGTAAGCCTACTCATTTCATGTGCAATGTGCGCTCTGTAAGTACTGTGTGGTGTTTGGAGGAGAAGTTCTGGGTAAAGGTGATCATCAGAAGCTTGGTGCATTCGTGGCTAAACCATTGGTGCGATGGAGAAATGCCATAGAAGTTTTTGGGCCGTTCCACACTACCCCTATATCCCAGGATCTGATCCCAGATTATAATAATATTGTCGAAGGGCTTTATGGCCAGAATCATTGGGTTGTTGTAAGTTTTTCGGGTTGTATGGCCATGTTCTAGAAGCATTCTCTCCTGACATTTCGCCTGCATCTGTGGCAAACATCCTCAGAGGTTGTGAGGTCTGTTGGAAAGTGGAAAGTTTGCTTTATATTAAATGTTTGCTTGCAGTCCAAGGTTTCAGGGACTCTGCAGATAGGTGGCTTCCTTTGGTTGCAGTCATAGGGCAAGTCACCTGTCCATCATCGTAAAGTTTTGGTTCCGCCCCTTGCTCAGGGCAATTGAGAAGGGAAGGGGACCATTTTTAGTTAGTCTCAGCAAGGAAAGCTAATGTACAGTACGTGTGCAAGCTTCCCCTGTACAAAAGCTTCAACCCTTAAGACTTTCCGGGGGAAAACAGTCTTTAAGAGTCTCCAAAGATTTCCAGGAAAACAGACCTAAAGACCAAAGAACTCCAGCTGGAGAATATCTAAACTTTTACTGGTAGGTCCACTCGGTGCTTCGAGATGCAGTTCGAACCGGTAGCGGAGCCCACATGAGTAAGGGTTACATTACAGTCAGCCTGGGAGAAGTTAAAAAGGGGATTTTCCTTTAAAATAAAGAAGAAGTTATTGAAGACAGTTGCCTGTCCTTCGTGGGCAAGTTTAGGAAGCCACCAGTTGCATAAAGGCCTCAAATCATTTGTTTAACTTTATTGAAGACAAGAGAAGTTTCTGTTTGATTGTTAATTAATAAAAGACTTTGTTATACTTCACAAGCCATCTAAAGATCATTTGTGGTGGAAAACCTCTGAGAACTTCTCTTTGGGGGCCCTGGCTTCCTGCTGGGCAAAGGTTGCACGTCCTGTTCTAAAGGAAATTCTTTACAGGCCCAGTGCGCGACAGAACAGCAAGCATCCTCAGAGGTTGTGAGGTCACAACCTCTGGGGATGCTTGCCATAGATGCATGCGAAATGTCAGAAGAGAATGCTTCTAGAACATGGCCATATAGCTCAAAAAACTACAACAACCTATAATAATAATAATAATAATAATAAACAGTAAGAGCTGTTCCTCAGTGGAATACGCTGCTTTGGAACATGCTGGAGTCTCCTTCTCTGGAGGTTTTAAAGCAGAGGTTGGATGGCCATCTTTCGGGGATGCTTTGATTGTGTGTTTTTTCCTGGCAGAATGGGGTTGGACTGGATGGCCCTTGGGGTCTCTTCCAACTCTAGGATTCTATGATGCAAGCGATTGGCTCCTCTATTAGCAAATGTTTGCAAGGGGGCCTGGGGAACTCGTCTTAAAAATTACATGAAACAACCTTAACGAAGAAAAGCAATATAGCCTAAAGCTAGGAACATGCATCCTCCACTTCTCTTTCTTTTTTGACGCAGGTTTCGTTAAGCACATGCAAATTAAACATGCAAAGACAGAGGTGAAGGTGATCCATCCATTTATACACTGCCGTCATGTTCATTCAAACCAACCAAACCCGTTACAGAAAGAGAACAGTTAGTGCTTAAAAGGACAGGTGGAAAGAACGCAAGGGCTTTTGGTCTATTGTGTGCTAGAAAAACAAAAGGACAACACGCTACTGTTTGGTAAACTCTGATGCTGCAATGTGAAGGAGGCAAAGAAGTCCATGTCATAAGTAATACTCAACTGTATGAGAACCATTTGCAAAACTAGTAAAGGTAAAGGTTTTCCCCTGACATTAAGTCCAGTCGGGTCCGAACGGGGGTTGGTGCTCATCTCCACTTCTAAGCTGAAGAGCCAGCTTTGTCCGTAGGCACCTCCAAGGTCATGTGGCCGGCATACAAAACTAGATCTTACATAAACAGTAAACACAACACAATGTATTGTTGAAGGCTTTCATGGCCGGAATCACTGGGTTGTTGTAAGTTTTTTGGGCTGTATGTCCATGCTCCAGAAGCATTCTCTCCTGACGTTTCGCCTGTATTTATGGAAGGCATCCTCTAACAGACCCCACAACCTCTGAGGATGCCTGCCATAGATGTGGGCAAAACGTCAGGAGAGAATGCTTCTAGAACATGGCCATATAGTCCAAAAAACACAACAACCCAGTAAACACAACACACTTGATAGTTTCATCTAATAAACATTCTTGGAGACTTTCGACAGGTAAATCCAAACCCAATTCATTTGGGGAGCTGATAATATGTCCGCTTTCATTGAAAGATGTGACTAAAGTTCATCTTGGGACTGGTCTTGTTACTGGACCCAGTTCTGTCCTCCTGCCCTGCCCCATTGAAAAATTGGAGCAAAAGTTTCAAAAGTGTGGAAAGAATAAGCATTACTCAAGTCTTCAAAATATCGAGGAAATGCTTTACAATGCAGTGGGACCATAGTCATTGTATAGCTTTGTACATAAGGTCTTCCGTATTTCTCCTTCCAAGTATCAGGAAATATTTGAGGTTAGAAGAAGGGTGTTCAATAGAGAAGATCATCGAGAAGATTTAGCAGGTGATTCAACATCGGAGCAACCTCGGTAGGAAGACAATCATCTCTAAGCAGAGACCAAAGACTGATCTGTGTTCTGTCAGATGGTCTTTCTTGGACTGGACTTTTTCAGATTCTGGCCAGGAGGCCACATTTTTGAATACAAGCATACCTATGGGCTTTAGCTCAGCTAATTAATCACCAGCAGCAATAGATCTTACCAATTGGAAGGTTGGCAATTCGAACCCCAGGTCAGGGTGAGCCTCCAACCTTCAGCCCAGCTTACTGTCCACCTAAGCAGTTCGAAAACAGCTGTGAGTTGTGAGTAGAGAAATTAGGTACCACTTAAGCGGGGAGGTATTTTACGGCACCATAAAAGAAATACCAGAAAATGCCTGCGATCAAAGGAAGGAGGAAGTCTGTGATCATGGGCTCTTCCTCATAGAGGATGGAGCGACAGTACCCTCCTGTGGCTAGAATCAAGTACAACCTCCAGGATGCCGGAGTTGGAAAAAATGCTGGCATAATACCTCTATTTGTTGTCTGTCCTGTCTGTTTAACAGCATTGAATGTTTGTCATGTATGTGTTCTGTGATGTGCCCTGAGTCCCCTTTGGGGTGAGAAGGGTGGAATACAAATGCTGTAAATAAATAAATAAATAAGTAAATAATACCTCAGTTAACAAAGAAAGTCTTTTTGCATCCAACCAGCCTCACTTTCCTTCCTCATCCTCTGTTTAACTGGACACTTTTTAGCAGCATATGCATTGAGAGAATGACAAAGGACTGAAGAAATACAGGCTTTTAGACCCCTTCCACACAGTTGTATACAATACACATTGAACTGGATTATATGGCAGTGTGGATTCAGATAATCCAGTTCAAAGCAGATATTGTGAATTATCTGACTTGATATTCTAGGTTATATTGCTGTGTGTAAGGGCCATAACTGGCAGGTTGCAGCTGTGCATTTACAGTAAACAATGCAATAAAATTTGGCCTGGGAAAGAGGGAGATTCAATTTTCACTGAACCTCCTGTAGCTGTATGTGGCAGCCTACAACAGAAAAGGTAAACAGCAGTCGCTTCCAAAATCCCTGAGCGGGAGAGAACAATAAAACAGAGGAAAGAGGGGTACAGAACTGCCTGTCTCAACAGCTACCCCCAGCCTGGTAAAATGAATGAATTTGTACCAACTTCATGCATTTGTAAAATGAGGTTCATGGCTTTATGGCTAGATATAATTTTACTGTTTGTTTGTGTAATTTTAGGTCTTATAATTACCATATTTTCTGGCATATAAGACTGTGTCTATAAGACGACTTCCAACTTTTACAGTTAAGACTACTCCTCTTCCAACGCACACCAAATAATTTTTTTTAAAAACCCAGATGATTTGATTTCAATATGGTAATTTTCCTATTATCATATCTCCCTCTCTGACTCTCAGATATCGCACATGTGTGCCTGCGCTGCTTCACTGCAGCCCTCAGGAGCAAGATCTGAGAGGCAGAGAAGGAGGTAAGGTAATACGATACAAGAGTGGGCCAGACAGGTGAAAGAGGCATTTTTCTGGGCACAGCACCACTATCTTTTTTTCCCCGATACCCCGGGTGTCCCAGACGCCTGCAGCTTGCTCCGCCCTTCACGAATACCTTCCTGGTGAGGCGCCCCCTCACCTCGTCACCGGGACTGCATTAAGTCACTTCTTTCCACAAATCTTGGTGAGTGGATTTTCTTCTACTGTACTTGTACAGCACTGTTCTTGTTGCTTTCATACAGTTGCTGCATAAAGTAGGGATGCGGCCGTGGCTGCTTTTGAGCTCCCCACACCATAAGCGGCGACCGCAGATTTTCCAGTCCAGCTTGGAAGTTTCAGCATCCACCCTATAAGACGACCCCTGGCGTATAAGACCATCACCGACTTTTGAGAAGATTTTGCTGGGTTAAAAAGTAGTCTTATATGCCAGAAAATACAGTAGTTGTTTGATGTTGGCTTGCTTTGAGATTGGGTGGTACTTTTGTACTTTTCTTGAGGCATTGAATGTTTGCCTTTGTGTTTTTTGTTTGTTGGAATCCATCCTGACAAAATACAATTATTATTATTATTATTATTATTATTATTATTATTATTATTATTTTGAATCCAGACTGACAAAGTTTTGGAACACAATACAGCAGACATCATGATTGTAGAAAAGAAATTTGATTATTGATGTCGCCATACCAGGTGACAGTCACGTTGAGGAAAAACAACAGGAAAAACTCAGCCGTTATTAGGACCTCAAAATTGAACTGGAAAGGCTCTGGCATAAACCAGTGGTCATTGGCACACTGGGTGCCGTGCCAAAAGATCTCAACCGGCATTTGGACACAATAAACATTGACAACATCACAATTTGTTAACTGCAAAAGGCCACCTTACTTGGATCTGCACGCATACATCACGCAGTTCTAGACTCTTGGGAAGTGTTCGACTTGTGATTTTGTGATACAAAATTCAGCATATAGATCACGTTTGCTGTGACATACTGTGGTTTTGTGTCAGTAAAATAATAATAATAATAATAATAATTATTATTATTATTATTACAGAAAAATAGAACATGGTGAAAAATGAAAATAGCAACTTTGAATGTATTTTGCAATGAGCTTTCAAGTTTTGAACTTTCTAGAAAGTTCAAAACACTTTTATATACTAACGAAAGATTTATCTGACTTGAAGTTTCATTTCCTAAGTGCACATCATGAATTTCAGAATAAAATGACTGAAAGCTGTGGATTGCTCCTCTTTTTTGAGGTATAAGAAACAACACCCGTTCTTTCCATGTTATTTCTACCTCTAGTAACATTTTTTTCTCTTAAAAGAACTAATGTACAGGAACATGTCTACTTTGTTAACTGAGGTATAGCTAGACCAGGCATGGCAAACTTCGGCCCTCCAGGTGTTTTGGACTTCAACTCCCACAATTCCTAACAGTCTCAAGCTTAAGCGGCTGAGGGGGAAAAGGAAAGGGCCCGAGACTGCTAGGAATTGTGGGAGTTGAAGTCCAAAACACCTGGAGGGCCGAAGTTTGCCATGCCTGAGCTATTGGTTTAAGAAGCAAACACCTCCTTACATGTAGTCAACTAGCATCCCAGGCGAAAGACTAACTGATATTGCCATCCTGATGTACTAGCTTTTATTTCTGCTCCTTTATATTTGTGGGGTTTGCTCAATGCAGCAACCTTATATCCAATTTCCTATATTCCAAGAAAACCTTTCCTGTGATTTCCCTGAAATCCCCTTGGTGAACTGGATGTTCTTCTCCCCCCCCCCCTTTTTTTTTTGTCGTGTCAGGAGCAAGTCAATTCTGGTGTGAGAGAATTGGCCGTCTGCAAGGACGTTGCCCAGGGGACGCCTGGATGATTTGATGTTTTTATCATCCTTGTGGGAGGCTTCTCTCATGTCCCCGCATGAGGAGCTGGAGCTGATAGAGGGAGCTCATCTGCCTCTCCCTGGATTCGAACCTGCGACCTGTCGGTCTTCAGTCCTGCTGGCACAGGGGTTTAACCCACTGCGCCACCGGGGGCTCCTGTTCTCCTATACATATACCATATTCAAAACTTCTTGTTGTTTTGTGGCTTGTTGCGTGCCTCCAACCTCTTACCACAAGAGTTTCTTGGTAAGATATATTCAGACCAGGTTTGCCATTGCCTCTCTCTGAGGCTGAGACAGTGTGAGTTTCCTGAGATCCCCCAGTGCCTATCTATGGCTGCGTGGGGATTCGAACCCTGGTCTACAGAGTCATAGCCCAATATTCAAACTTGCTGAACTGATATTTGGAAGTCCAGCAACCCCATGGAGAATGACAATGACATCCTATTTCAGGGAGATAGGTTAGTATAATAAAGTGTTGTTGTTGTTGTTGTTGTTATTATCCTATTTCACCCCATCCTCAAGCTTCTGCTGTAAGTTTTCCAAGTAAAAAGCATGCTTCTGGAGAAAATATTCACCAAAGTGCATAAGATTTCTTCTCTTGAGTATTGTGCTAGCTCAGGGAAGCTGAGTAAGACAACAAGGGGTACTCTCCTTTGTGGATCTTTTCGTGCCTCTTGTGATGCGAGCTGTGACTAAAGCTCTTGCCGCAAAACCTACAGGCATAGGGTTTCTCCCCAGTGTGGATTCGCCGGTGCTGAACCAAGGTAGACTTGTCTGTGAACCGCTTCCCGCACTCGGAGCACACGTACGGCTTCTCCCCAGTGTGGATCCTCTGGTGCCGGAAAAGGTTGGAGCTGACGCTGAAACACTTTTCGCAAACGCTGCACTGGTACGGCTTCTCCCCGGTGTGAATGCGCATGTGTTTGACCAGATCTGCGTTCTGGCTGAAGCTCTGCCAGCACTCAGTGCAATTGTTCAACACCACTGCTTTCCGTTTGGGTTTGGGCTTCCCGTCAGCGGTGGCACAGCCGCCATCGGTTTGCGTGCCTTTGCCAAGCTTCTTGCCCAGCAGGTGTCGTAGGTGGTGCTTCTTGTGGGAGCTGCGGCTGAAGCATTTGCCGCAGTCGACGCACTTGTAAGGCTTCTCGCCCGTGTGGGTCCGCCAGTGCTGCGTCAAGTTGGATTTGTCGTTGAACCTTTTGCCGCACTCGTTGCACTTGTAGGGCTTCTCCCCGGTGTGGATTCTCTGGTGTCTATTCAAGCTGGAGCTGACCCCAAAGCTTTTCCCACAATCCGGACACGTGTACGGCTTTTCCTCGGAGTGCGTTCGCCGGTGGTTGACCAAGCTGGAGCTCTGGTTGAACGTCTTCCCGCATTCAATGCAGATGTTGGGCTTCTCCTCCGCCTGGGTTCCCTGATAGACCACAAAGTCTTTGCGTTTCCGGATGCCTCGAACGGGTTTTGTGGATCTTGTCCGCAGCATCCTCTCTTCTCCAGTTTTACTCCTGCAGTTACTTTCAGGTGGTTGGTTACACTCAGGATTCGTGGTTAGCATTATGCTTTTGTTTTCAAAAACTCCAAAATCTGTCTTCCATGGTTCAATTTTCTCTTCTGTACCTGAGAAAAGGGTAATTTTGTATATTCAGAAACAAAGTCACCTGCTTTAAATAGATATCTATCCAGAACTAACACTAACAGTTGGATACTAAGCATCTCAAAAACAAAAGAGAAATATCTCATACATGTACCTCAAACAGTATGGAAGTTGACAAATACAGGACAGCGGGCAAACTTGGGCCCTCCAGGTATTTTGGATTAAACTCCCACAATATGCTGTTAGGAATTGTGGGAGTTGAAGTCCAAAACAGCTGGAGGCCCAAGTTTGCCCGTGTCTGATCTAGGTAAAGGTGAAGGTTTTCCCCTGACATTAAGTCCAGTCGTGTCTGACTCTGGGATTTAGTGCTCATCTCCATTTCTAAGCCAAAGAGCCAGCGTTGTCCATAAACACCTCCAAGGTCATGTGGCCAGCATGACTCCATGGAGCAGCATTACCTTCCCTTTGGAGCAGTACCTATTGATCTACTCACATTTGCATGTTTTTGAACTGCTAGGTTGGCAGAAGCTGGGGCTGACAGTGGAAGCTCATGCCCCTCCCCGGATTCAAACCTGTGACCTTTCGGTCAACAAGTGTAGCAGCTCAGTGGTTTAACCCACTGCGCCACCGGGGGCTCCTGATCTCCAATGACGATATAATCTATCTTTTGAATACAGATAATCTGCTTCAAACTGGACTGTATTTATTTTATTTTATTTTATTTACAGTATTTATATTCTGCTCTTCTCACCCCGCAGGGGACTCAGGGCGGATTACAATGCACATATGCATGGTAAACATTCAATGCCATTTAGACATACAACATATATAGACAGACACAGAGGTAATTTAACATTCCAGCTTTTTCCGGCTTCAGGAGGGTATGCTCAGTTCCAGCTACAGAGGGAGCTGTCGCTTCATTGTCCACTTGTGACATTGGATCCTTTGATGGAGTACTTCCTCATTCTTCTGCATGCTTTTGGAAGGTTTTATGGCATCATAACTTAGTTAAATTAGCCTCCTGGAATAAAGAGGTAGCTAAATTTCCTACTTGACAGATGCAAATGTCTTTCGGGCTGCATAGGTCAACAGCAAGCTAGACTATTAATGGTCGGAAGCTTACTCTGACCCAGGCTGGCTTCAAACTCATGACCTCTCAGTCAGAAGTGACTTAATGTAGCTGGATACTAACTAGCATAAATCAGTTAAATTTGTCTCCCGGCAAAAAGCGCTACCTAAATTTCCTACCTGACAGATGTAAATGCCTCTTGGGCTGCATAAGTCAACAGCAAGCTAGACTATTAATGGTCGGGAGCTTACTCTGACCCAGGATGGCTTCGAACTCATGACCTCTCAGTCAGAAGTGATTTAATGCAGCTGACTACTAACTAGCATAAATCAATTAAATTATATGTCCGGCATAAATCGCTACCTAAATTTCCTACTTGACAGATGCAAATGTCTCTCGGGCTGCATAGGACAACAGCAAGTTAAGACTATTAATGGTCGGGAGCTTACTCCGACCGGGCTGCCTTCAAACGCATAACCTCTCAGTCAGAAGTGATTTAATGCAGCTGGCTACTAACTAGCATAAATCAGTTAAATTTGCCTCTCGGCATAAAGCGGTACCTACATTTCCTACTTGACAGATGCAAATGTTTCTCGGGCTGCACAGGACAACAGCAAGCTAGACTATTAATGGGCGGGAGCTTACTCCGACCCGGGCTGGCTTCGAACTCATGACCTCTCAGTCAGAAGTGATTTAATCAGATGACTACTAACTAGCATATATCAGTTAAATTAGCCTCCCCGCCTAAAGCGGTACCTAAATTTCCTACTTGACAGATGCAAACGTTTCTTGGGCTGCATAGGTCAACAGCAAGCTAGACTATTAATGGTCAGGAGCTTACTCCGACCCGGGCTGGCTTCCAACTCATAACGTCTCAGTCAGAAATGATTTAATGCAGCTGGCTACTAACTAGCTGCGCCACAGCACGGTCTATGAGTCTACACCGCCATATAATCCAGTTTAAAGCATTCAGAACCTGGATGAGTATATGGTGCCATAGCTGAGGATGTTTCTACATTGCAGACTGAATGGAGTTTGGCCCCACTTCAACTCAATGTTGTGGAATCGTGGGAGTTGTAGTTTTGCAAGGTCTTTCGCCTCCTCTGCCAAAGAGAGCTTTGGCGCCACCAAACTCCCGCTCGCATGATTCCATACTAGTGAGCTATGGCAGTTCAAGCGGGATCAAAGTGCGTTAACCCTGCAGTGTAGGCGCCCCCCTCTCTCCTTGGAACCAAAGGAAAAAAAGGGGGATCCTCAAAGGGCATCCCTCCAAGTGCTTGCTCCTACCCTGGCTGTGCGTTGCTCCTCCGGATGAGGAAAAAGGGAAGGTCCCTCCTGGCTTCAATGGAGGAGAAGGAAGGCTGCTTCTGCTGCTTGGCTTGCTTTAGGCGCAGAGCCCGAATCGAGGAAGCCCGGCCCTCCTCTTGGCCAACGAGAGGAGCTTGGCTGCCGGGAATGAACGGGCTCCCCCTCGTGGCCGCAGCTCAAACTGCCAGGGGTGAAGATGCTCCAGTTAAAGCTGCATCCCCTGGAGACCTAATTCAGTTTTACAAACAAGCTGAGGAGCCTTCTAATCAAGGTGAAAGAAGAAAGCGCAAAAGCTGGGCTGTAGCTAAACATAAAAAAACCCAAGATTATGGCAACAAGAATGATTGACAACTGGAAAATAGAGGGAGAAAATGTGTATTTCTAGGTGCAAAGATTACTGCAGATACAGACTGTGGCCAGAAAATCAGAAGACGCTTACTTCTTGGGTGGAGAGCAATGTCCAGTCTCGATAAAATAGTGAAGAGCAGAGACATCAGACTGGCAACAAAGATCCGCCTAGTCAAAGCATGGTATTCCCTGTAGTAACCTACGGATGTGAGAGCTGGACCTTAGGGAAGGCTGAGCGAAGGAAGATTGATGCTTTTGAACTGTGGTGTTGGAGGAAAGTTCTGAGAGTGCCTTGGACTGCGAGAAGATCCAACCAGTCCATCCTCCAGGAAATAAAGCCCGACTGCTCACTGGAGGGAAGGATACTAGAGACAAAGTTGAAGTACTTTGGCCACATCATGAGGAGACAGCAAAGCCTAGAGAAGACAATGATGCTGGGGAAAGTGGAAGGCAAAAGGAAGAGGGGCCGACCAAGGGCAAGATGGATGGATGGCATCCTTGAAGTGACTGGACTGACCTTGAAGGAGCTGGGGGTGGTGACGGCCACCAGGGAGCTCTGGCGTGGGCTGGTCCATGAGGTCAAGAAGAGTCGGAGACGACTGAACGAATGAACAACAACACCAAGGTGCTTGTTTATAAAGCTATTGTCCTCCCAACCCTGCTATACGCTTGTGAGACGTGGACAGTCTACAGATGTCACATGCAACTCCTGAAACGATTCCATCAACGCTGCCTCCGGAAAATCCTGCAAATCTCTTGGGAAGACAAGCAGACAAATGTCAGCGTGCTGGAAGAAGCAAAGACCACCAGCATTGAAGTGATGGTCCTCCGCCATCAACTCTGCTGGACCGGCCACGTTGTCCGGATGCCCGACCACCGTATCCCAAAGCAGTTGCTCTATTCTGAACTCAAGAACGGAAAACTGAATGTCGGAGGACAGGAAAAGAGATCTAAAGACGGGCTCAAAGCCAACTTTAAGAACTCTGGTATAGACACTGAGAACTGGGAGGCCCTTGAGTGCTCCAGTTGGAGGTCAGCTGTGATGAGCACTGCTGCAGAATTTGAAAAGGCACGAATGGAGGGCGAAAGAGAGAAACGTGCCAAGAGGAAGGCGCGTCAAGCCAACCCTGACCGGGACTGCCGTCCACCTGGAAACCGATGCCCTCACTGCGGGAGAATATGCAGATCAAGAATAGGGCTCCACAGTCACCTACATACCGCCAGGATACTACACTTGGAGGACCATCATCCTCGGACTATGAGGGATCGCCTAAGTAGTAAGTAAGTAATTCAGTTTTAACAACACTTTAACTAACATGTTACCCAAATGTCAGCGTACTGGAAGAAGCAAAGATCACCAGCATTGAAGCAATGCTCATCCGCTATCAACTCCGCTGGGATGTCCACGTTGTCCGAATGTCCGATCACCACCTGCCAAAGCAGTTGCTCTACTCCGAACTCAAGAAGTATAGAGTCAAGATAAAAAGAAGTCATCATTCTACTTTGTTCTATGTTGGTCAGACCTCACCTGGAATTTGAGTGATTTGATGGACTGAATCCAAAATATCTTCAGCAATAGTTCATTGTCAAAGAGTACAATGCTACAGACTTATTTCTTAGGTATTATTATTATTGTTGTTGTTGTTTGAAACACAACAAGATGAGTCCACAGCAGACAAGATCACTCTGCTGGCTGTTGTATTGGATCACATGTCGGACACTTCCCAAATGTCCAGGACTGTGTGATGTATCGGCGAGTAATGCGTGCAGATCCCAGTAAGGTGGCCTTCTGCAGCTGGCAGATGGCAATTTTGTCAGTGCTGATTGTGTTTAAGTGCAGGCCAAGGTCACCACTGGGACCACCTTTACTGGTTTCTTCCAGAGTCTATGCAGTTCGATCTTTAAACCCTCATACCATGTCAGCTTTTCCAGTTGTTTCTCTTCAATCCTGCTGTCACCTGGAATTGCAACATCGATGATCCATACTTCGTTTTTTAACAAGATTGTGGGTTTAGGAGTATTTTACTCCAAAACTCTGTCAGTCTGAATTCAGAAGTCCCAGAGTAGATTTTCATTTTCTGTAACTTTTTCAGGCTTGTGATCCCACTACTTCTTTGTCGCAGGCAGATGGTATTTGCAGCACAAGTTCCAATGAATCATCTGAGCAACGGTGTTATGCCTCTGCTTGTAGTCTGTCTGTGCAATCTATTATTATTATTATTATTATTATTATTATTATATTTATTTATACCCTGATTTTTCTGTTCATAAAGAAGACTCACAGCAGCTTCAGTCATCTTTATAAATGACTGTAGATTATCCCAGAAAGATAAATGATGGTTAAATGTTTACTCTAGTATATCCATATGCCAATTGCTTGGAAGATGAATGTGGTAGTTGTGCTTGTGGCCTCACCATAGATCACTGCCTGGTCACTGTGTGACCAGAATGCTGGACTACATCAGCCTTTATGTATAGTCTTCAGACTGATGCTTGAGGCAAATTAAAGTAAAACTATGGAAGTTGGGCTCATATGACTTCACCCAAACATCACGTACTTAATGCTTATTTTCTAAGAAAAAGACTGCATTCCAACTTGAGAAACACAGGGAAAAACTCTGTGAGAATTTGTGTATGCACACATTTGTTTAAGGCAAACATGGCACTCAAATCATAACTGTGTACCTGATTCAGCACTCCTCTTTCACCTACTTGCTGTTCCTTAGACATAATCCCCATGTTTCTTCCCCTCCCTAGCTAGGATTTGCAAAACTACAATTAGGCTCTCTGGCTCTTATATACAACATAGTAATCTAGCTCCAAACATCAGTCTTGAAAGATCACATGTAAGGCAACAGCTTACTAATTATTACTTTCCTGAATAAGTTGGAAGACAAAATAATTGCCAATTAGTTTCTTCTCAAGCTTGACATTTTGTCAGATGACTTCTGATTGGTATCTTTTTTTTGTAGGAACTGGCCAGCTTTTCATCGCTCCTAACAACAACAACAACAACAATAATAATCTTTATTTATGCCCCACCACCATCTCCCTAGAGGGCACTCGGGGCGGCTTACAGGAGGCCAAGCCCGGTAATACATTACAGCAAAATAAATTCTAATGTTTTCCCTTTCTTTCTCCTCCTTTTTATACTCTGATCCTTCTTTCAATGCTGCCATTATAATGCAAATTGAACCGTATTATGTGATCGGTGCAGATTCATATAATACAGTTGGACTGAATTCTATAACCATATAATGCAGTTCAATCTCAGTTCAATTGGGCTGATTTCTATGACCATATAATGCAGTTCAATCTGCATTATAATAACAGTGTGGATGGGGCCTTAGACCTTGTGTGGCTTGGGGTGAATCTACACTGAGGTTCAATACTACTTGAACTGCCACGGCATAATGCGATGGAATCATGGGAGCTATAGTTCTTTAACCTTTTCTGCCAAATCATGCTGGTGCCTCACCAAACTATAGCTCCCATTATTCCATGTCACTGAGCCATGGCAGTTCAAGAGGTGTCAAACTGTATTCATTACCTCTCAGTTGTTGCAGGATTGTTCCACACAATACAAAGCTGGATTTGCAGCAGAAGTGATGCATCCAGCTGTTAATGTGGGTCATGGGGAAAGGATTTATTCTGGAGTTTCCAGGAAGCTCTGGAGTGATACCTGAGTTTTGGAGGTGTGGACAATTTGATTGGGCTTGATCTGGCCCATTCCAGTCTAATAGAACCATCACTGTGTCACCAGCCACAAGTAGCTCCCTGGTGAGGTTTCTGATGGCAATCACAAGGTGCTCAGGTGAGTGAGCAGGATATGGCAACACTGCCAGAAGCCTCGTGATGGTGGTGGCAGTCACAATGCAGCCTCAGACCCCCCCCCCCAAGACTCTGTAAAAGATAGTTCAAAATCAGGAAATTCATAGTTTTGCCAAGGACACTAAGCTGGAATGATCTCATAATGATCTCTCCTCCATATGGGAACCTAAGGCTTCTTCCATAGCACCATGGCCCCACATGGCAACGCCCCTGTAACCCAAACTAGCATCTGACCAATTTGACTATTATTTATTAATTAGATTCCTTTTTTAATGAACGAAACTCCTGTTTTATGAATGGACTCCAGCTACTCAGTGCTCCTAGGGCCTTCTATACACCCCCATGAACTCTTATGAACTCTTATGGACTTTCCATGAACTTTCATGAACTTTCTAGGAACTTTTATAAACTCTTACCAAACTTTATGAACTGTTATGGACTTTAGGAGGCTGGCATGACTTCCCGTTAGACTCTGCATGATTCCCCCTCTTCCTATGAACTCTGTGTATGCTCCCCTGCCCAATTCCTTATTCCCTATATGTATGTATGCCTGTATGAAAAATATGAAGGAAAGCAACCTTTTTCAGGAACCAGCAGCTCATGGCTCTTGAAGTTTCCAAACTCCCTGAGCTGGTAATTCCGTAAACAAAGGACTCAACAAAGACCCATTTGCATGAACAATAAATAAATGACGCTATCAATCTGGACATTGGAGGGCTGATAGCCAGACCATCCAGAACAATAAGGTCTATGGGCATACTGGATTACCCAACATAAAGGGCATTTCCCTATCTGCAAGGAACCAGAGATTTTGCCACAGCCTCCCCATTGTGTCACATCCTGACCTCCCAAAACTAGCATCAACTTTATCAATGAACTCCATATTCCAGGACAGTATAATAAAAGGACCTAGCCTCTAGGAGCTAGACAAGAATTTAATTCAGAGAATCA